TCTTTTTACTTTCACTGAACTTGTCAATATAACATTTAATAGATTAAACGGCAATCAAACAAACACACATGTGTGTCAAATATACGTGACTGCTACAAGACAAGCTTTGATTTTTTTTTTAATTCGACGAACATATATTATACATGTATTCGTTACATATAAGATATCGTATGTAAAATAAATATGGGACGCATGTGTATGACGGGTCTGTCCTAGCTGACTCCACGTGCAGAACATTGGGGGCAACGTTCTTTACAAATTGATGTATATAAAATGTATTCCACAAAGTTTGATTAATAAATGTTTATTGCAATATTTTTTTCCGCTGCAAACAATAGTTATTGATGGATACACTGTAAAACAACAGACTTTAATTCAAAGTGATTTATTGATATGGTGTAAAATTCAAAAATATCTTTAGGACACAAGTCGTAATATTTGAAACATTGATTTAATCGTGCAGCAAAAGAAAGACTGTAACCCGAAAACTACCCAAAGAAACTTCACTAACAAATTAAAACACAATATTAATCCATGGCCACAGTATAAGTACTATACTTTACTCTGTAGTTAGAAAATCGCGACTTCTCGAGCCTTTCCGACAACCGGAAAGCAACCTCGAATATATTATCGCCCTTTTCATTAAAGATGTTACCAAAAAAAGTCTACAGAAGTGTCTTTGAAGTCTGACGGTCTCTCCAATACCTTAATAAATAGGAAACGCCTCCATCATGTATAAATTTTTATCATCGAGGTTGTTTTTCCGACCTTTGGTGGAAAGGCTCGAGATGATACGATTACTCCTCACATATCTAACCATAAGAGAGGCGTGGCGGTATCTGTTTCCCTGCCCTCCACGATGTGTTCATGAGATTATTGAACCATTTTGGCTTATAGGAACTGCAATAAACAATCCTGTATACCTTTAAACACAGTTAAACAGGCCAAATATTATCGATCAGGGGCGTATATTGTTTTTGTCCTGTCTGTCTGTTTGTCTGCAAACTTTAACCTTCGCCATAACTTTTGAACCATGAAAGATATATAGAGACTTCATATTTGGTATGCATACTCCACTAAATAAGCTCTTTCAAATGACACCAAGGTCAATGGCCTTGTGACCTTGACTGTGACCTATATGCTAAAGATAGTCTTTTGTCTGCAAACTTTAACCTTCGCCATCACTTTTGAACCATGAAAGATAGAGACTTCGTATTTGGTTTGCATACTCCACTAATGAATTCGCAAGTGAGTTGAGGCTAAATATGGGGATTTCTATGCAAATGAGCTAATAAAAATGCATAAATTGTATATTTTATATTCAAAGAAAGTTCAAATTGATTTCCTCATTCATACTTAATGCCCACAGCATATTATAGCTAGTACACATTATAACGTCATATTATGACGTCATTGTTCTTTCCCATTCAAAATAATAAAACACATCAACAAAACAACGTCGGCGCAAGGGCATATCCTATTTAATTTAAAATACATAATGTATAATCAGGTTGGGGGGAAACGTAAATTCCACTATAATAGTGGTATATCACTATTATAGTGAAATTCCGCTATATTTTCAGCTGTATTTACCCTCGATATCATCAAATGACATGCTTGCTGTTTAAAGCGCAATTCATGATGGGTATATAACTTGAAACTAATTGGCACCCTTACATATTATGAATTTTATTTAATTTTCTGCCGATGCGTTTAACAATGCGAACACACTTTGTAAAACGGAAGTTACATTTTTCACATAGCAACCAGCGATTGTGGCAGTATTCAAGAAAGACTGAATTCCAATTTTTCTCACACATGTGCAGAAATTAATGCTTGTAATAATTTTCAATCTGCAATGAATACAGTAGAAAAGACAATCTTTGTCTGCATGGTTACGGGTATGGAGGCCCGTTGTGACAAATGCTTAAAAGCTCATTTCATGTAATCTTTATTTTGGTAGAACCGATATATCTCGTCTAAATGCAATAAATCGTAAACAATCTATAAGGTTACACTTCTTCAGGTTATCACAAGTATAACGTTTCTTTTTATGGTAAAACGGCAAGTTCAAACGACTAGTTTTATCCCGGAAAGACACTCACATTGTTCTTGCATGGGATTACCTGTAGATGTAGAAGTGATATCTTACAGTATAAATTTTGTACGATTTTGTTCTTGTCTTAGTTGCATGGCATATGATTTACCTAGTATTTAACTAAGTTATGCACTGAAAAGGGTTATGAAATTTTAAGATAATTTAAACTGTAACGGAATAAGATTATTTCTCTTACAATTAATGAAATAAAAGGAGAAACAGCTTAAGTAGTTACAATGAAATACGAAGAAAAAAACAGTAATTAAGCTCAAAAGGACATTGCAATAATATAAATTTTGAGCAAATCAAACACGAACCTCTGAAATCAGAAGCCATGCAGAAGTAAGCGTCCCCTGTCGACCGGTCACACCTGCCTTTTGCTCTTTGTCATGATCGTATAAATGGAAATTAGTATGAAAATAATGGCTTAAACAATTTGTATGAAATACGTCAGTCAACATGCATTAAACCTACGACAGATTGTGTTTGCACACGAGGTCAGAGGATTGATCATGAAATTTGCGGAGTGTTGACTTCATGTGAGATTGTAGACATATTTGTCAGAAGCCTGCGTCGTTTTAAAAATTGTCATACGAAGAAAATGCTCATGCGCACTGAATCAAGTTCAATCACCCGTGGGGCATAACCGCGTTTGTAAATCCACATGCAGGTAATAATGGTTAATTCCTACATAAATAAAGGGAGTTGACGATAGAAAAATTGAAGTCATCAGGTTTACCATCAAGTTTAGTAGTTGGTTTGCCATCTCTTTCTCCAATATAATATCCAGATATGAAGCAGTTGTGTCATAATTCATAGTGTCTTTTATCTCTAAATCCAAACGTAATTTTTTTTTTGAAATTACAGCTATATTTCGTGTAATTTTTGTTGGATAAAAATAACATAAAAACATATAAAATAAACCATTACATATTCGTAGTGTATTAGTAGTGTGTTAGTAGCCAGAAAACAGAAAAAAAGACTTTAAAAAACGTTGGAAATTGGAGAGAATTTTAAATATTGAAAATCCTATTTCCGGGGGGGGGGGTGTTAGGTTTTAACTTTGTTTCACAACCAGAATTTATACTTAATCATACATTACCACCTTACCATTATTGAACTGTATGCTACAACAAAAAAATTGGGAAGGGGGCTGGTTCCAATCAAGGGACATTTTTAATAGTGAAAGGTACTGTTTGATGGGGGGGGGGGGGGGAGAACCCCCCCCCCCCACACACACACATTTATGGATACATATACATCCTGAAGAAGTGTCACCTTATAGATTGTTTAAGATTTATTGCATTTAGACGAGATATATCGGTTCTACCAAAATAAAGATTACATGAAATGAGCTTTTAAGCATTTGTCACAACGGGCCTCCATACCCGTAATTAGTGTCCATTTTCATACCCATCATGAATTGCGCTTTAAACAGCAAGCATGTTATCTGATGATATCGAGGGTAAATACAGCTGAAAATATAGCGGAATTTCACTATAATAGTGATATACCACTATTATAGTGGAATTTACGTTTCCCCCCAACCTGATAATATTAAGGAGAATATTGTAAATAATAATAAAACTGCTGCACAAATCTCATGCTCTTTCTCAATTGATAAAAATTTAGGAAACTTACACTGGACCGTGAATTTTTACCCTGTTTCAACTTAAAACGCTACAATTTTAAAGTAAACAACTGCACTGTTGATTTGTGCAGCAATATCTTGAATTCTTTGAATATCCTGCGTCTATTTATACCTTGTTTCTGTAAAATAAAGTAAGGTATGCCCTTGCGCCGAAGCGATTTTGTTGATGTTGCCTATTAACTTGTGTAGTAAGGGTCAATGACGTCATAAAATGACGTCATTATGTTTAAACTCTTTCTCATGACACTAAGGGGAATGACCTTGTGACCTTGACTGTGACCTATATACTAAAAATATCTTTTTTGTCTGCAAACTTTAACCTTCGCCATAACGTTTGAACCATGAAGGATAGAGACTTTATATTTCGTATGCGTACTCCACTAATAAAGCTTTCAAATGACACAAAGGTCAATGACCTTGACTGTGACATATACGCTAAATGTAGCTTTTTTGAACCTTCACAACTTTTATACCATGGGAGATAGAGACTTCATATTTGGTATGCATACTCCACTAATAAAGTTCTTTCAAATGACGCCAAGGTCGATGACCTTGTGACCTTCACTGTTACCTATATGCTAAAAATAGCTTTTATCGAATTTTGTTGCCGCCGGGCGCATAGTCTTTCACAAACACATCTTGTTTGATTTTTGGAATCATATGATTTTACTTTTCGATCTCACAACCACTCTCTTCGTTAGTTGATCGTCTAAAATATTCATCTTTGACATATAGCATAGGCATGTGATCAATTAAAAAGACATTGAATTATATTTTGCTTCCATACATATTTATGGGTCCTTTTCAATGACAATATTGCTTTGTATTTCAATAGAGAAAGTTGATAGAATGAAACAACAGGAAACCCAGAGAAAATATCATAAACAGAAATTTCTTTGGTGATTGCAAAACCAAACAAAAAAAAAAAAAAAAAAAAAAAAAAAAAAAAAAAAAAAAAAGAAAAAGATAAATGACTATTGGTTATCATTAAATGTCAAAAAAAAAAAAGAGATTAATCTACAGCTGTATTCATTATCTTTTTTGTTCCTCATACTTTTATTTTTACATTTATTTCCTTCACAAGAAAAATTTCAAACAAGATTTTTTTTTTTGGAAAAGGATGATTTAGAATTAATATTATAATACATATTCATACATATAAGAATCATTGGATAGCCTTATCTTAATAAAAGGTCATTGTTTATAACCACTTCTTAATGATTGAAAGAAATTATCACATTAACACATACATGTTTATTATAAAAACTTTATTAGATTAACAAGAGGTGATAGAAACTAAGACAAATATTGAGGTGTATGCATGAGACAGCTTAGGATTAGACTTAGTCTTCTTTGACTTACAACTGTTTTTCGTGGAATCATATGGATGAAGATAATTCATTCCAATTTCACCATTCCCAAAGAAACCAAACAATGGCGTGTGTGGAAATATCTTCCTAAATATGGAAGATTCCACATTTTCTTTGCCATTGTGATAAGTTTTTCCTCTGCCTAGACATGCAAACATAAAAGCAAAGCTTTTCTCTGTTGGCAGATTGCAGGCCTTCAGTTTCAGAAGTTCATTTTCTATTTTCTTTTCGCTGTTTGTGTCTTCCTTAACCACAACAGAGGCCACGTGTACATTAGGTCCACATAAAGCAATACAGCGAACCTGTGAATCCGAGGACCTGCAACATAAAGGTGTGTAAAGAAATGTAACTCTTACAAGTTCACGTAACGTTTAACTATGATTTTGCATTAATAGTAGTCTTAACTTTGTCAATGATATACACTTTCTTCAAAATATCAACCATTCTTCTTCTTTTTTTTATGTTTTTAATTTTTAAAAAATATCAGAAAAGATCATGTTTTGTGTTTTATTTGGAGGGATCAACTTTATAATAAAGAAAGGGCATTTTTAAATCAGTTTTTTAATAGACTATTAGATCAACTTGAAACATAATATTGCACATTTTTAAACATGGGTGCAACTTGCAAGATGTAATACTTTGGTCCTGGGCCATCTTCCCAAGTCAAGAGTTTCTGATCCGCTCCCCTCCACATAAACCCTTGACCGACTAGGCTAAGTTTGACTGGGTTAACTGTCACGCCATCTAGTGAGATTACACATTTTAAACTCTACTGACCTCTGCTATTAGCCAATCAGAGTAAACAAATTCAATAGAGAATTCGAGATAATATTGGTAGTCGGTAATAAATTCAATATAACTCAACTAAAAAGCTGAGACAAACCTGTAACTGTGCTATTAAATGATAAAGACGTTATCCTTGGGACTAAATCTGGCATGTTTTTCTGTTTACAAATTAGTTTCAGTTTAAATAAAACAATGATTTTGATTGGTTCATGCAAACTTGCATGGGGCCAATCAGAGGAAGCATTTCTAACCAGTCAAACTTAGCCTATTCGGTCAAGGGTTTATGTGGAGCGGAGTGGATAAGAAACTCTTGACTTGGGAAGATGGTCCTGGGCAAGCTTTTCATTAATTAAAAAAAGTCTGACACTTTCAGATATTAATGCTTTCAAGTTTCTAAATAACATTTCTTCAAGGTTATGAACATAAAATTTTTAAACCACTATGGCATTTATCAATAAATAGGACTTTAATTTCATATATCAAAGAAAAAAATTTAATATTAAAGTAGAACATGTACTTACTCGTCGAAGCCACATTCTGAGAGGGGTGTCACGATATGGTCCACATATCCCCCGACTACAGGACAGCCATTATAATAGTCCAGCAGTCCCAACTGAATCTCCTGAGGACAGAAGTGAAGGTCAGAGAAAAACAGGATGGCCTTCACCTCCTGGTCAAACGGCACAGTGGTCACTTCTTCCACATTAAATCGGTCAGGAATTTCTGGGCTCATGGGGGAAATATGTTTATTGAGGTCTATGAAGAAGTCATAAATTTCAACACCTGGCATTCTTGGAATAGCTAAATAAGTTATTGCCATCACCGAATGTTCAATTTCTACTGTTTTATTTTCACTACTACCTGAAAACAGAAAAAAAATACATTACATAATATTAAAAACAATTTAATATTGTACTGATTCATGATATATAATGGGGATAGGTATCGCCAAAAAATTTGTTTCATAATATATATATCACAATTTTTTCCCAAAATATAACAATAATATCATGACGTTTTTACAAGCAATTTTTACAATGATTGTAAATGAATATTCATTTTTTTCTTTAAAATATGCTAGAAAAACAAAATTTCACTATTTTGAAATTTTTACGTACATAAAATTAATCATGTTTGGATAGTAAGATGCCATTCTTTTCACATTTTACGACATTTCTTAGACTTTCTGTAATTGAAAATTGAAATATTTAACAAATAATGAATAATTTCTGGACTTAATAATTTGTAACTAAACACCGGTATTTTGGTCTCCACATCATAATATGTATCAAGCAACAAAAAATCGCGCTATACCGGCATACCGATAAAATCTCACATTCCTAATATATAAACTCCCTAAAATGAATATGAACAGAAATGAATCTTGTTTTCAGCATGTACTTGAAAATTCAAAAATAAATATGATAAAAACTTGGAAATAATTCTGAAGATTTCATTTAAGAAATAAGGTATCATTTTTGAGTTTTATTGGGATGTAAAACGGGTTGGTCGCCTGATCAAATCCCATAAAGCCTGAAGGGCTTTATGGAAGATTTGATCATGTGCCAACCCGTTTTACATCCCAATAAAACTCAAAAAATGATACCTTATTACTTATATTTACGTTTGTGACTTATTCAATTTTAAATTTGTCTGATTGTGACTTTTAACATGTGAAATGCATTATTTTTCAAACCCAACGGCATGTATGTAATCCACTGAACGCGCGTCGACCCTTTATGACGTCATTGAGAAATTACGTCGAACATGTATCCATACGCACATCTATGACCTCTTGACCCTGTACCTGTATTTATACAGTTATAAATACGCTTGCTTTCAGTAGTGTTATATAAAGGAAAACATTTGCAAATGTAAATATATTGAAATATAAGCCAAACTAGAACTGTCCAAACGGGACAAAATACCCCCCGCTGGTTTTTTTCAGAAGTAAGTTTTTCCATAATAAAGATATGTATAACACATGAATTATGAAATTTTTCTTCCAGTGACCTTGAAATTCCCCAAATGACCTTGGGTCAAGATCATGACACACCCTTGGGTCATGGGCAATCTTTGTGTGAAATGAGAACCTACCAAGTTTATCAATAAGAAAGATATGGACCGGACATGAATTATGAACTTTTTCTTCCAGTGACCTTGAACTTCCCCAAATGACCTTGGGTCAAGGTCATGACACACCCTTGGGTCATGGGCAATTCTTTGTAGAATGAGAACCTACCAAGTTTATCCATAAAAAAAGATGTAGACAAGACACGAATTGTAAACTTTTTCTTCCAGTGACCATGAACTTCCCCAAATGAACTTGGGTCAACATCATGACACACCCTTGGGTCAAGGGCAATAGTTGTGTGAATTGAGAACCTACCAAATTTATCCATAAGAAAGATATGGACCGGACACAAATTATGAAAATTTTCTTCCAGTGACCTTGAACTTCCCTAAATGACCTTGGGTCATGGTCAGGACACACCCTTAGGTCATGGGCAATCTTTGCATGAAATGAAAACCTACCAAGTTTATCCATAAGAAAGATATGGACCGGACACAAATTATGAACTTTTTCTTCCAGTGACCTTGAACTTCTTCGAGTGACCTCGGGTCAAGGTCATGACACACTCTTGGGTCATGGGCAATCTTTGTATGAAATTAGAACCTACCAAGTTTATCCATAAAAAAGATATTGACCAGACACGAACTATGAAATTTTTCTTCCAGTGACCTTGAACTTCCCTAAATGACCTTGGGTCAAGGTCATGACACACCCTTGGGTCATGGGCAATCTTTGTGTGAAATGAGAACCTACCAAGTTTATCCATAAGAAAGATATGGACCGGACACGAATAATGAACTTTTTCTTCCAGTGACCTTGAACTTCCCCAAATGACCTTGGGTCAAAGTCATGACACACCCTTAGGTCATGGGCAATCTTTGTGTGGAGTAGCAGATTCTAATGTCCCTCCGTAAGAAAGATATGGACCGGACACGTTTGCACAGAGAGACGGACAGACAGACAGACGGACAGCTAGACAGACGGACAAGGTGATTCCTTCGTTTGCGGGGGGTATAAAAAAATATAACATTTATAATCATATTGTAAACTTGTATACCAATAATTCCATCTGCTGCCACTGAGAAGGACTTGCAGGAACTGGGCAGTAAGGATGTAATAAAGCTTTCTACATCATATGATTGACTCTTGCATTGCCTGGGTCTTCTACTCTGACTTTTGGAAGGTACATAAAGAGACTCTTCAAACAGTAATGTAGTACAGAAAATAAAAACATTTGCAGGCTCCAAAGTCATATTCTGCAATACAAAATATGATTTTTAATTTTCCAGCGTTACTTTTAACCACTTCACTTGCAAAGTTCATTCAGAAATAAAAGTTTTTAAAGACTAGAGCCCCACCTTTAGTTTATAAATATATTGCAATATATGTACCTCAACAACATACAACTCTTCATTTATAAATAATGGGGTTTATTCATAAGAAAATAACGGCACGTCTATTTACCCATATGGACCCAAATGGAACCCAAATGGAAACACAAATGGACCCAAATGGAAATCAAATGGAATATTAAATATGTATTATCGTATTTCATTACTTAAAAATGATAAAAAAGAACTTACAGTTACAAATGGAGTTTTAAATTAATCATTAATTCCTAACACTGTATTTTGAGATATGAAAACGAATTAATTTTTAAAATTATTCTATATATCGGCAAAATTGTTGGGTGTGGGCATGCCCCCCTCCCCCCCCCATTACTCCGTTCTTACCGCCATGTAAACTATATGCTCCAGTTTTGTATTCAATTATGTGCAAAAGTTATAACAAATAAAAAAATATATATTTTTTAAAATAAAATTTAAGAAAATACTAATATTAAAATATTCTCTTTTTGTTAAGTTCAGTATTTTCAATATTTTGAATAAGTAAGGCCAAAAAAAATAATAGTCTTGTTTCCTGCTACCAGCCTAAAAAAAATAGGGTAGGTAGGTCTGGAAATTATTTTATTATTTTATTTTATTTTATTTTTTTCCAATGGTGTTTGTTGGATATGAACTATTACAAAACCAAATTAAACATGTCATAGGTCAATATTATTGTTTAAAATAAATAGTGTTTCATGCAAGTCCATAATTAAAACATGTATATTTCATGAAATACCACTTGAATGTATATTTTTTTCACTTTTGGATCATGAAATTTTCGATTTTCCCTCAAAAACTAAATAAAAACTTTAGGGTCAGGTGCAAAAAAATAGGGTAGGTCGGGTAGCAGGAAACAAGACTATTTTTATTTTTGGCCTAACAACTTGAAAATACATATACAATATTCCTATTCCATTTGGGTCCATTTGATTTCCATTTGGGTCCATTTGAGTTTCCATTTGGGTTCCATTTGGGTCCATTTGGGTTCCATTTGGGTCCATTTGGGTAAATCGACGCACCCCAAATTAAAGGGCATTTCAGTGATTTTTCTTGGGGGCATTTCGATGATTCGTAGTACCGAATAATTGGCCAGTGCAAAGATAATCAAGTGTACCTGAAATGACATTGTGAGATCTTCTACAATGTTGTGATCCTTTGGATTTTCCTCATCCTCACCCTGCACGCAGAGCCAGTATAGACTTGTTCTTGTCTGCTTTATCTTTCTCACAATTTCATTCCACGTCCGACACACTCTACAACGCAAAAAGAGAGAAATTTCTACCATTTAATATTTAATGCAGATACTTTCTTCCAACAACAACATGACAAATTATGAAAAAAATCATGTCATTAAACATATTTCAAATGATGACATCGGAAATAAATAACAGCTTTAAAATTAAATGTTTATCTTTTTATCGTCATGACTTTGATGACAAACTGACAAAGACCTCTTCCTTACTTGTTCCTGCTGTGTAGTTTCAGACCTACCTTGCACAGGCGTGCAGTGACTTCATCGGAAGAGTTTCCAGTATTTTGTTGATTATGACAGGGATTGTTTGTAACACTCTAGCGGCGGAAACATTTTCAACTGTGCCACAGACATTTGTGTTGGCCATCTTTGTTTACGTCTCATTGATCACGTGACCTTGCAAACTAAGTCGTTCTTGGAAGAGTCTGTTATTATTGTTTAAAAAAGACTAAGGCCATTCCAAGTTTTTTCAATGTTTAGCGTCCGCGTGCGCCTTGATTTTTGACAACCAATATCAGAAAAAAAACAAACAAACAAAATCAGAAGACCCGATATTGATTATTCTGGTCGAAATCTTTGAATTCTATCATGTCCTGTTTTAATCTGTCTACAATTTTTCCTATTTGGTACTATATTTTGAGCATTTAGTACATGGATTTTGTTAAAGTATAGATCTAGAAAGGAGAAAAATTTTTTTTTTGAAATCAAATCCTTTGAAAGACGAATTCCTTTTATCACTATAAAGTTTGTGTTTTCTTTTTTGGTCTGTGTGTTTTTTTTTTTTTTTTTTGCGAATAGGTAGGTAGGTTTTTGAAAGATGGGTGGACGCTAAACATAGAAAAAACTTGGAATGGCCTAACTTGCAAAATATACAAAATATTTGTATACATTTAATTGAATATTTTAGATTATAGGTCAAATATTAAAATACTAAATGGAATTATTTTCGCTAAATGAAAAAAATGAAATAATATTTATCTATATTATTAATTTCTATTTTTCTTAAATTAAAACACAAGTATAAAATTCAGCTCAATCATTCATTAAAATCAATGTTCATTCCATATGATATGGTTTAATTTATATCGAATGTGGTTTGGAAAAAATAACACATTGGAATTAACTTAATAATTAAATATTGATATGCAAGTAAACGTTACTAAGTTAACCTACATTGAACGTAAAATGTTGGACGATTTACCTGCTGAAATATGACTGAAATAACTAATTGCTTGCCAACATAATCATCTTGCATGACCAGTAGACATAATTATCTTGCATGCTGACATATTTTTCTCACATGTTTCATGTTAACATAATTTATCTTGCATGGCAGAAATATGCCATCATAGATGTACTACTAACTCATTAAACAATATATGATTCAACTTTAACAATAACTTTCGACAAAATTAATGTATAATAGGAATCAGATTGATTAAATTTTTAGACTTTAGCACATATGAATTCAAAGAAATTCATAGCTGAGCTTTTTTGATTTTGTTAATTTTGTGATTGACAACTGATTTCAGATGAAAATACCGTAACTATGTAGTACTAGGTCTATCCGGATTTTATTAGGGACTACTTAACTTTGTCTATTTCATCAAAAGAATGTGATTCTTACTATTTTTCTATAGATGATGGTGATCAAGCAAACAGTTCTCATGACTAAAAGTGTAGTACAAGCCCCCAACCGTTAATGGGCCCCCCTTAAAGAATCAAAAAGGCCTTAAATCATACTTGATCCTTTACTCATCAAGGTTTAATCGTATGTCAAAAATCAACGCCATATTTGGAAAAGTTTAGAAAAGTAGTGCAGAAAACTAAGTGGGACAGAATGATAGAGGGACAGACAGACGGACAGCTAGACAGACAGACAAAGATAAACATATTGCTGGTACCCTCTCGTTTCGTCACTAGGGGGACTTAAATGACTGATACCATTTTGTACAGGCCCAGATGTGGTTAATGGTCCGATAATTATACACTCAAGAGTATACATGTACATGTATCTACATGTACCTGTCTATAACAGGTAAAGTGACGGTTCACTGTGAGTAGTATTCAATCAAAATTATACTTTTTTTGCATTGTTCAAAATCTCATCATTACGTATAATGACAATCATTGTCTAAGTTAGGACATGAGCGGATACAGGATAGATTTTAAAAGAATCAATTTTTTAACTGCTTGGCTTTAAAAGTTTTGAAATTTATATAAGGGATTCAATACTACTTATAGTAATCTAAACTGTTAAATATGTAAAAAAAAAAAAAAAAAAAAAAATTAACGTGACGGTCACTACTTTTTTGTTCTATATGTGCTATATAAGCCTAAAAGTAAAATGTTCAATACAATTCACTGAACACATACATTAAAGATATCATTGAGGAGGATAAGGGTGTTAAAGAGTTTTAGTATTTTGATGTATTGATATTTTGATTTGTCTGAACACATACAACACTCTCTCTCTGTTACAAAGAGTTGTGAAAATTAACCCCGAAATATGGGAAAGATTACATTATGCGGGCTCCCAGCATCAGGTGTTTGCACTTACTAGCATTTATAAGGCCCTGGAAACAAAAGAGACTGACTATGAGTTTTTATTTTATTGTTAAGCCGTCGCTCCAAACTGCGAAACGAACATACTTAATGGTTTATCTAATTTATATCTATTGTAGCTGTGTTTTGTCTTTGGTAATCCGGCCTTATGATGAATTACCTTTCATAACGCTGGATGCTGCCAAAGATTCTGACACAGCATTAACACCTATAGAGAAAGGATCCGACACGACAAAGATAGCCTTCAATGGAAGGATCCGACACTTCACAGACAACCTTCAATGAAAGGATCCGACACTTTACAGACAACCTTCAATGAAAGGATTCAGCATGGCTCAGAAAGTCTCGAAGGTTCCAGCACAGCATAAACATCCTTGAAGGATCCGACAAAAGAGCAGCCAGTTGATGAAAGGATTAAGGTAAACTCAGAATTATGATGTCATACTAGTATCACTACGTCGTACATGTTGACATACAGGAAAAGTTTTGATTTTTGAATTCGGCTGATTTTAAGTTTATATTTTTGAATGTATCTATTTAAATTTGAATTTTCGTATTTTATAATAATTTTAACGATGAATTGAGCTTAAAAACATACCTCGTTTACATTTTCTTGATCAACATCTAATTCAACTTTCCCAAGAAACGACAAAAAGAACAAGTTCAAAAGAATTTGAAAGAAACTTAAATACTTCCTAATACATGTAAAATTAAACGGATTAGAATTAGAGATTTTTTAAAATCTTTCAAGAGTCCCTTGCTCATACTGAATTAAATCCGGGTTTTGATAATTTGTAAAAATGTACAAGGTTGATATCTTGGTGACAGTTGTGTGCATGCAGAAATAATATCTGTTACGTACATTAGAAGCAAATTTAATTTTAAGTCAGTTGAGACAGACCATACACTGTAACCAGTTTCAAAAAACTTCGAATCAAATCAAGTCATACTAACTGATATTTGAATACTTTTATTTAATTTCTAATCATTTAAAACAATTGAATAACAAATAATCAATACACTTTTTACAAATGTTTACAAGTCTGACAGCATTTGTCGGTAAAAGTCTGATATCGGCACATTTTTAACTGTCCCACCAAGGAACAATATCTGGAATGGTCGTGACACGCTGAAAAATACAAATTGTTGCGTAATTAATTAATTGAGGAATTTACATAGAATGTAATATTCAATAAAAACACGATATTTCAATTATGCAATGAATATATAGGGGTTTTTCTAGAGATCAGAGATGATGTGAATTGTCCTGACAGATATGATGGTTAGATAAACAATCATTTACTTTGTTTGTTAATTTTTTTTTATTCTTGACTCTTTGCCTTATCAGCTTTAAAGCTAAAGCATATAATAAAATATATTATTATATTACCCCAGCGAGAAATATAAATGAGTAAACATGATAAAATGAATACTATACTCAATAACGGAGTCCCTGACCATACATAGTATATACTACAATTTCCCGTTCGTAGTAAAGTCTGATGAAATGTGAAGTTTTTATACTTCCAATGTTCGAGGGCTGTTCAATAAATAATGTCTTGAACTGTATAACATACAATGCAGATATCATATGGCATTAAGCTTGACTTTCTCTCATTATTGAATCTTTAATGAATTTGTAACAGTTTACATGACCACTTTTCATCATATACTTTCAATGTGAGATGCTGGAAAACAAGGGCTATTCGAGACACTGAATTTAAAATGAATTGTAAAGAATCAGTGAACTAGAGTGAGATTAATAGCTTCATCGAAGCTACTCTAAAACTTGTTAAGAATCCCAAAGAAATATTCAGTGAAATATGTAAAATTTGCAGCAACCAATGTCTGTTTTATAGACAAATGAGCAGGTGGATTTCAATGATAAAAAATTATATACTAGTATTGGGCATCAAAAATGGGTACCGTCCTTGCCAACAAAAATTATAACAACTAATGTACTGTTTGCCAAATTTTAACAAATAATTTTTGATGATGTGTGATTGACTTTAAGACACATAGCAAATTTAATAGACATAATTTCGAGTGTAGTTTAAAGAAACATTTGACAGTAAAAAAGCTTAGTACTTAAAGGTCACCCTGTGTTTTGAAAACTGAGTGAAAACGACAGCGTGTAAGAAAATCTAAATAATTATTTTAAAAATATCAGTAATTCTTGTTATCCACGTTTGTTTGAAATGCAAACAGATAATGAAACTTAAATCTATTGCTTAAAACCCTTAAAACAAAATTTACAATAAGATGTACTTGACAAAAACAGCAAAGGTCCGAGAAGAGCAAAGAATTGCAAGAGCACAAAGACAGATTTATATGCATTTTTCTTAAATATTAGTGGTCTTGCTGTTCAAATTCGTATTCGGGGAGGTAGTTTAAATTCTGGAGGAGGCTAGAAAGCAAATTTTTTTTGCAAAAAAATCGAAAGGTTTATGAGAGGAAGGAACTAGAATCAGGAATAAAAAGTGTTACGGACATGTGTTTAATTAAAAGAGAAAAAATCGTCTTTTGCTTCATTCCGAGCACCGAGGACATTATTTATTGAACATCCCTCGTAAGATACCTTTTTTACACTTGGACTTGCATGGTTTCCATGCTAACGGACGAGGAAGTGTTCTACACTGAGTGTAAGCCAGTTTACGTGTATTCTTCCACACACAAGAAAACAACCGGAACTTCTTTCCACGGGGCGCGCAATGTGGCTTACACTGAAACATCAAGACATATCTTTAAATGAGTAAGTACTTCTTGTAATACTGACGTTTATCTTGAATAATCAAAAATTTCTTAAGTATAAATCACGCTGAATGAGCAAATCGGATAAAGAAACCCATTTTCTCCGCCAGACAGTTCCTATAAATGAATGGTCCGTAATTTATATTTCTTTTTTTGGTACGGTGTGAACTAATTTTACCTTCGTCCACCTGGAAGTTTGCCACTCCACCTTGCATTCCTCGTTGTCACATTCCCGAAAACCGACTGGTACGGGTATATTCAGGCATTTAGAGCGATGTATGATTGTACCATTTCCGTTTGTACAGAACACCGCACGTTGTTGTGCCGCCTTACCTATCCTTTTGCATGTTTTTACACTACACTGAAATAGAATTAACATTAACATTATTTACCGTGAAAATAAAAATTACATTTTAGTACAGAAACTTATAGCCTAATAAACGAATTTTTCAAACAAATACGGCACGTATTTATGTCATTTTTAAAGACAGAATATATTGATGACCATATGAAGAAGGAGAAAACCAGAATTACCTCCCCCCACTTGTCTACATTCCATTGTGGACAGAATTCCTGAACTAAACACTGTCTAACATTCACCGGTTTTTCTTGCTGCTCACAAAGTTTAACCGGGACAATTTTTATATATTTATTTGAGTACACACTACACGTCACTTCCCGTGTTTGTAAACCCGTTCCACACGTTCTTGAACATGGGGACCAATCACCAACCATGAATTCCGCTACTTCGGACCTGTTGCTATTTAACGCGTCTGGTCCTGGCATTTTGTCTGATTGTGGTTTATCTAACTTTAATATATCTTTCTCCATATGCTTTATCATTGTTCTAGCTGTCTTAGTGGCCTTTTTCTTGTTCTGAAACGATATGTAGATGCTGGCTTTCTCAATCCCTGCCATGCAAGTAAAAACTCCTGCGTCTATATTTGGGTCTGTTCGTTTAATTTTTAGTACTCCATTCGGTAGAACATGAACTCTCTTATAAGGCGAAACGGGAATAAGTCGATCGTCTTTTGTCCAAAATATTAGTCTTCTATCCATATTTTTCACAATACATGTAATTTTCACTGGTTGTTTTGGTAATAATATAGCTTTACCGCCAACATTAAGGTACACTCTTTTCATTCGCCGAGTCTGAATGAAGGTAGAATTATCCACAACAATGGAAGGAATTGAATAAAAGTCTTTAAAACAAGCCTCTACTGAACATGCCCGTGAAGTCTCTGGTCGGGCACCAAAGCATTCCGAATGGGAAACATTAATCTGTATCCCGTGAGAAGGAGACTTGATGCAAGTCAGACTTCGGAGTTGAGTGCCAATACCACAGGATACTGAACACTGAAATTACCAAGAGGAGTAAATTTTTTGAAAAGTACATGCACCAGTATAGACTCAATATCAAGGAAAACAATATCAAGATTTCATTACATTACGATCAACTTAACAATACTCAGTATTACAAATACATTTAATTTATATTAAACTCAAACCTGGCTCCATTTACCAGTCTGCCACCTGGCCGGACAAAAGTTCAGATTGCACGCCTTTTCCGACATCGGGATTGGATCAGGACACTGGGAGAATCTCACAGTTATAACGTTTGCTCTTCCGGACCGCTGAACGCACCGGACATGCCGACGCTGTACTCCTCCGCCACACTCCACAGAACATCGCCCATAGGTAGAAATTTCCCACCTTAAATAATGTAAAACAGAGTTTTTAAAATTTTATATTAGCATCAACACAAAATTATCAATCGACACTTCAAATTATTATTACTTATTGTGTTAATGATTGAATATATAGATTAAAAGGCACTCATTCATTCCTTGATAATTACCATACCACTTTAACACTATACAAAGAATACATCAACTTCCGGTTAGGGTTATTATTTAGGATAAACCCCGAGACATCAGAATGAAAAGACAAAAATCTCTACTTTTTTCGCACAATATGACTTTAACCGGAAGTTCACATAAAATTAGTAAAATATATGAGCATGAAGAAGAGGCGCCTGATATTGTGTGAGGCACCTTGTGGTAAAAAACAAGGCCTGGACAATACGAAACAAGTGCCCGCCTTATGTAATCAAGCAACGTTCTTCAAATACAACGATGGGATCAATAATGAAAATCGAAGAACTGTTATGATTGAGACAACCTACTGTGATGGGCATTCTGGTAAGGAACATTCCTTGGTAAGGTCTCTAGGTTTCTTTTCTCTGTCACAATAATAGTCCATTGTTCTTCTCTTTGTCCGTCTGTTTATGCATTTTATGTGAGATTTTTGATGACCTGTCTGAATATATAGTATTGCATTACATGATCTTTTGTTTGTACATTTTTAGAAAATTGCAATTTTACTTTGAAAAATGATCATTGTTATTACTGAAATCAAATAAAAAATCAAAATTTTAACTTTTCACGAATTCGAATCAAATTTTATAATTTATAATTTGTATATATCCACTTACAAAGTTTCTTTGGTTTTGCCTTTTATGCGAATTTTTAATGTAGAATGAACATGTATATTTATGAAGCAAATACAGTTAAAACATTAGAAAGTTAATGAAAAAGTTGAATAATTTTTTTTTAAAAATAGCACAGCGCATAATCTTTATAAAACGTGCTCACAATATTAAAATGTTTGCATTGTTACAGATATTTCTTTTTGCACTTTTTAAAGAACTTAGCTGCCAATAATACTTTATAAACATTTTAATTGCAATTTTTATATGCACTTACACCACAAGTAACCGAACATGGCATCCATTCCACCAGCCAATAGAAATGTGACTGTGCGAGACTGCTGCCAGTACAAGTAGACCCATTTCCTCCACAGACACCGCAGCTGTCAATCAACTTGTTAGACCACACCTCCCCATCACAACCAAGTCTCTGACAGAATTTTTAACAGCATCGTCTTACTTTTTGATACAAATTGATTGATACCAAAATATTTTAATCATGCTTGTAATATATTTTCTTTTTCGTTTTGTATTATACAGAACACGTAACCTTAAAATTACAATGTTCGTTTTCGTATTATCACTCTACACTAGTAATTTTAAATGATCACGTGTTTTCAATGGGAATACATTATACCTTGCATTCTCCCTTAATGCAGTAGAAATTGGGCTGAGAGCTGCACTTCGTGCCATCCTCTTTATCAGTTTTGATTTCATTTGGAATGTTTCCAGACATATCCCTACAGAACACGTAACATGGGTATATCTGCTGTGATAACGGGCTCCACTCTTGGTTCGCGGACCTTATGTTATTGTGGAAATTACATATCCTGTCATTGTCATTCATAAGGTAACCACTGCAAGGCTGCAAAGTAACGCATGATTTTAAAATTATATAGCCACCTAACAGAAAGTAACCCCCAGTACTCACTTAATATTTTCCCATAATTTTTCAAATTTTCTTACAGAACGTTAAGAAAAGAAGGAAATAGTACAAGCAAATTTAGTATCAAGCGGAATATCTCCTTTCAAAGAAAACATTGTACTAGTATTTCTCTGAAAATCTCGAGGTGTTTCTGGTGAAATTGATTAAGCCATGCGTTGCGAGTGTTTCAAATTCCGTTTTAACAGTTTTAGAGTTATCCTACATTTGTTGAAGGTAATTCCTTCTTCCTTGTTAAAACACGTTTAACTTTTTGCTTTATGAAGAAGGGAAATACCCGTATATTGCAATGACGATATCTGACTTCCGGTCCAAGGCAATTGCTGTTTCCAAAACACTGACGTTTCTGATTGGACAATCCACCGTCACATGACTTGCTGCATATACTCCAAGCACTCCATCCAGACCATCGAGCTTCAGTGTCATGTAAATAAATCTGTAATAATATAAAGGTATGGAGATTAGAAAAAAAAACCTCCACTCCATCCCCACAAAAAAGAATGGGTTTCAAACCTGGGCCATTCCTTTGAAGTCTACTGTTTAGTAGAAATATTCTGTTAAGTATAATAATACCACCCAAAGAAATAGGTTAAAACCCTAAAAGATATCTTAATATGCTGAAACGTGTGTCTGGTGCTATTTCCAGATACAGTGATAACATGGAAAATGGCCACCTTGAACTTTTCTCATCTTTGAAATATTGTTCGTTCAAAATAACACAGTCTGGTACATAACATGTATAACATCTGAGAAAAACCATTCTGTTAGATTTGGATCAAAGGGAGCGAGAGTAATCTACATCTTGTAAACGATCCTTTTCTGTATATCAGTTTAGTAATATTTGTGTGAAGTTGATAAATACAGAGTCCATTGCATGCAATAATGTTTGCTATAAAATATCAAATGCTTACTGACCGTGAACATAACGTATCCTTGTTCATATTCAAAGCAACATGCTACTCTTTTCCATGTTTACTAAACAGATTAAAAAAATACTTTTATCTTTCTGATAACAGCATTGACCTATTAGGCATCTAATGTTATGGTGTATATTACATCCGCCAAGTCAACTGAGTGTAAATTTGGCCCATCTTTTTAAAATCATAAACAATCCTGAATTTCTGTTTTGTATTTTTTGTGCTTAAATACCATGCCAATAATTTAAATAGTGGAAAAAGTAATGCAAGTTTGATTTCATTAAAATTAATAAGAATATCCATTACGTATATCTCTGATGTGCTCGTATATTCAGCATTGAGTTAAGATAAACACGATAAAGTAACAAACTTGTGATAATTTTTGTATATGCACTAAAGAGAAATCATGCCTTTAAAAAGAGAGAGAGAGAATAGAACGAACTGCACTTATTTAACCTCTTCTTCTTTTTTACGGCAATAGCATTCTGTCAACTCTGTTTTTAGAATAACATGTCTTAAATCAACGAAATGAAAATTTCTCGTCTTTTATAAATAGCTCCACCTTCATTGACATTCTGCAACACGATTGGGTATACAGTGTATATAAATTTTTTCACTCGTTACAATCTCATGGACCTAATTTGATATAAATTTTACAGTATGGCTTATTAACATACAGAGAAAATGCACTATTTTTTTTAACATGTGTCTCTCTGGTCATCAATCTGTAGTATACATGTACTCGTACATACAAATCTGCTAATTGTCTGTTAGACGTTTTATATGATGGCATCTTCTCAATATGCGCAAGCAACACAAATTGGAGACAGAACAATTATATCGACCAGACAACCCTATAAATTTAGGAACTTCACTCCAGTTTCTTTTTTTCATTATCATCAAATAAAACAAAACATGTGCATCCAATTTTTTCGACATACATTTGATTTTTTTCTAAGTAAATTAACGGGATGTTAAAAATCAAAATAATGATAAAGGATCACGTTTTTCACGGTATGACATTGAACTTTTCTGAGTTACTTAGGGTAACTATTCTGTGAAAGTTTTTTTTTTGTAGGAAGTTTATGAAGGGAAAAAAATGTGTAAAAAGGTGACTTCATTTATCGAGATACAGGCGACTCAGTTACTCCAGCATACAGTGGATACTTACTGCGTCAGCTGAGCAGTGATCTCTACCCTAAATTAACCATACGGTTTCCTTTATATACTTTCGATCGTTACAAGTTACAATACATCAAATACGACCTAAATTTAATCATTACAACTGAGAGTGTCATCAAGATGACATTCATTTAGAAATTTTTAGTGAATCATACCGTGTTCGTCTGTAAAATCTATAAAGTTGACAGGCTTGTCTTTCGATCACTCACATGTAAACGAAAAGACAAGAGTTAAAATCTGCTAAGCACCCCTGTAGCTCTGAATTATTGATAAACGACATGATTTCTGACATACTCTACTGGAATTACACTCATGCACCGAATGCCGCATTACCAGATCACGTTGATTTGTAGTCCATTACAATCTGAAAATTATTTTCTGCAGAGCATATAGCATGTATAGTCTCAAATGAAATAGCTAAAAATAATTCGTTTTATTGGAGGATTGTGAAAAATAAAAGGATTAAGTTTGGTTACACTAGCTTTCGAGCAAAATCCCACTGTAGATATATCATTATTCCAATCTGATCTCTTAGTACATGTACATAGCGCAGAGACTCTCTGCACTACGTAGAGATCGTAATTTAATCAGATTGATCATTGTTCCTGCTGTATAAAACTAGATTATGAAATAAAAACATTTAATAAATTCTTTATATTTTCTTTCAAGAATTGTTACAAACTAGATCAGCACTAATCCCTACTTCAATCAGAAAAGTGTTTACACATAGCTTTTTACTTTTCAAGGTGGGTCCCTTTACATGGACAATGTCACATCTGCATTTCAAAGAGTCTACATTATGTTAAAATCCGGAAGCAGTGCCTTACCAGAAGAAGAAAGCATAGGCGTACTCTCCGCATAATTATACCACCATGTCGATTTCTCCCTCATCCACTGATAAAACACCTAAATGAACACTCGACCCGCGCACTTTACAGGTGTTTAACAGTTTAAAGATCTATACCCCTCTCACGACCATTACGGGCGGTAGGGACAAATGCTAAGGTGATAAGGGGTGAGTTAATTCTAGATCTTGTACAGAACGACAATGAAACAAATAACAAAGAGCAACACGCAGCAGTAATCCCAAGTCCACACAATGATTGCCTGGCTGAATATGTCTAAACACAATTATAACTTCATTCTACAATCAGCTTTTCCTACTGGCACAGCCCGGTCGCCTTTGATAATCGCAGAGTGACATAGTTTACAATATTTCCTCTGAATTCTGATAGGGTTACAAAGTGAAAGTCATTCAGCATACAAAACATCTAGAGTACCAGGCTGGTAGGGAGAAGTCGTTAACGCGGCTATGTTTACTCTGGGATCTGTTCCTTCTTATGGCAGGGTATAATTATCTGGGTTCCCAGAGCTAATTGTGTTTCAAGCTCAAGATAGCTGTGAAGGTCTTGTATAACTCATCAAAGAATTAAGCTGGTTCAGTTTCAATCCGGCATTGAATTTGCCTGATGTATTGGAGGATTTAACTAGAGATTTAGTCTTACGTAATTTTGTTTGTAAAATCAACGGGCTCGTATACTTTAATTTAGAACATTAAATTCTATTAAAGTTTATCATAGTATTTATCATTACAAATTGGTTGATGTACATGACCATTGCTAACGTATAAACATTTCACGGAAAAAGAGAATCAACCTAGAAAAAGGGCATTTTATGATAAAAAGAATCTAATCACTATAAATTTCAAATTGCACATCATTTGGAGTGATCATATCAGCTATGTTTTAATTAATGTTAATAAACTAACAATCAGAAGTCCGATACATGTATTCAGTTTCTCTGATACCTGTAATCTGTAAAGGTTCCTTAAGGTCACCTAGATTATAGACAAATCTTTTGAGGGGAGGTGCGGCAATATATTTACAATAGTTCCGACATCAAGTCTCTACTTAAACCATGTGTCAAGATAAAGGTACTTCATCTCTACAGGTCTTAAAGTCAGCTTATGTAAACTGACCTTTGTGGCGGGTATCAGAAGCCTTAAGGGATACACAAGCTGTTGGCTGGCTGCTAGAAAATCTGAACAACGTTTATATATAAAGGTACTTCATGATATTCAACTGGAAGTTAAAGGTTTCTATCACTTTAGAGTCAGTCCTGTTCTAAATAATCTACATATATGTATAATATTGAATTGTGCTCTTGATAAGCTATAACATGCACATTTATGGTGCAAATTCAGTGTTCAGACAGATTTTTTGTTCATTAACTATTTCTGTAAAAATTAAAAATCATCACTGCTCCATTTGTGTATTGAATTTAAAGCGACCTTCTTTACACTTAGAAAACGTTCATTTGTTAGGCTTATACAGATGCCAGCAAGAAGACTCGAAACTTCTGACACGTAAAGAAGACATTGAGCATATCAAAAGGATAAAAAAAAGAAATATAGGACACATCTTGTGAGAAGGATAATTGAATTACTGATGAACTTAATTAAATATTCTGTTCGGGTTTCTCTGAATGATATAGACAAACTCTAAACAGACGAAAAAGAAACAAACCTGGAATGTCCGTAGTTTTAGTGACATGCCAGATATTTTTTATGTACTTTGTAGAAGTTTATTAAGAACATTGTGATGCATGATTATTTATCGAAGATTAGAAGATATATTATTATAGTCTTTGCTCTGTTCGTTCATTTGTCCACAAAAAAATCTTTAGCCTTGCCCTTAACCTTTGATTGGTATTAACTATAGTTTTCATATTCACATATATATTTCTTGTGTCCAGACCTTCCTTTGGGTACCAACATGTTTGACCTCTGGGCCCACTTTTGCAAAATATTACCCAACTTTAACCTTGGCCATAACTTTTGAACAGTTGGTGCTAGGGCTTTCATGTTGCAAAGTAGTATTCATCGTGATAAGACGTCTCCATGAAACATATGGAGAAAACGAACAGTGTAGAAATCCATAAAACAATACAAAATAGAAGCAGAGCACATACAGACCTCCGAAACATCAGAGGTGGGATCAGGTGCCATGGAGGAGTGAGCATTCCCTGCTGACCGGTCATACCCGCCGTATGCTCCTTGTCATGATCGGGAAATAACGGAAAAATCTTTCGTCTACTCAATGTATAAATAATGGACCAAACTTAGTATGAAAAACGTCAGTCAGCATTTGACTCAATTGTATTTGCTGACTAGGTCATTGTATCGATCATAGAACTAAAGAAATGATGACTTTAAACGAGACTGCTGAAATTCTTATTTCGTCAACTTGTCTGTCAGTAATTTACCTCGTTGTAGAAATTGTTCATTCGTAGAGCATGCTCTTGTGCATCGAATCAACTGAGATATATAAACTCCGTA